ACTAAATCCTCAGTGCTCCAGTATTACATCCAATTTCTTATGCTGTAGCTTCAGCGTAAGTGTTCCCTCTTGTTTGAGAAAGAACTCTTGAGGCACATGATTTGAAGACATTACATTGCCTCTGTAGTCAGGTCCTTTAATCTTTCTCAAAAGGTCTCATTTTTCCAATCCTTTAATCATCTCTGTGGTAAAAAACGAAGTGCCCAGCCTTCTTTTGTCTCACTCTGGACAGAGGTGCTGAGCGGTCTAAGTCTTGCAGGTCATATTTATACGTTTATGCCCAAGTGTTACCTTCCTTGTTTAAATCGAGTGTTGCTGTTGACTCATCATGTCTTTTTGAAAACCAACAATAATGGGGCGCCTGGCTAAGCGTCCAACTTCAGCTCACGTCATGATCTCACGGTTTGTGGGTCTGAGCCCCACGTCGGGCTCTGTGCTGACAGCTCAGAGGGTGGAGCCTGTCTTCTGATTCTGTATCTCCCTCTCTCTCTGACCCTCCCCTGCTCATGCCGTTTCTCTCTCTCCCTCAAAAATAAATAAAACATTAAAAAAAAATTTTTTTTGAAAACCAACAATAAGGAAACACCGCTGTGAACACAGTTCAAAATCAGACCCACAGTGTACAAGTGAACCAGAATCATGCTTCCTTTGTATTACTCAGTTTCCCATTTGGGCCCTACTTTCACGGGAACGTGTGAGCCTTGATCATCCATTTTCACCAAAATAGCATTTACTGAGGCAGGCATATTAATTCAGGTAAAGCAAAATGATTGTTCCTTTATTCTTGGCAATTCCACACCTACTCACCTTCCAATTGACTTTTTATAGAATATTAGTTTGCATTAAAAAAAATCCATTTAATTGCATCGGAGAAACACTTCGCTGCCATGCTCCAGGCCGATACCATGTCGCAGCTGCTCCTATTTAAGGCATAATTGTAGCCTCACTCTTCTACAAGGAACTAATTCTGATTTTGAAAGGATTTGTCCTCACAGTTTATCCTGATGAGAGAGGACTGGATTATTGCCGTGTAAAATAGCTGAATAGTCCTATTATAGCTATTATGCCACAAATGTTGTATATTGTTGAAGATCAAAGTACTGTACCACACTCAATGGCAAGATGCACAAGCAAGCACACTTCCCATATTATGTAAAAAATACTGCATTTTATGAGTCATTTAGTACCATGTGAGGTATCTGTGGACCCTATATCATTTCCTTCAAACTTTCCTCATCATTCTGAAATCCTTTATTTTCTGGTTGAAAGACTTACAATCTAGTCATTTCTCACTAGTCTCCCCAGGAAATAAACTTCAGTACTCTGTGTCCTCTCGTTGCATTATGTTATGTGTTGCATATCATTCTGCTTTACATTTAAATTACTTGAGAAAACTATTAAATAACTGTGGACAACAGTACATTCTAACTGGTAGATTGAGAAAATGTAAATGTTTCCTATCACAACCATTAATGAGGTTTATAGACCCTTTAAGATGCGTTCGATTCAGCATGGGATAGGTTGTAAGGACGCAAACATGCCTATTTCACCCCATAATCTTGTTAGGAAGGTAAACCTGTAAACACACGCATAAAAGGGGGCCTTATAATAGAAGGTGGCCCATATGTAGGAGGTGTTCCACTGAATGGTATATAAAAAGAGTGAGGTTTTCTTCTATGAGAGAGACTGAGGGGTCAGCTGTAACTGGAAAGCTCACCCTTAAATAAGCGGAGGCCAGTGAAGGACTGAATATTTTGTTATAAAATGTGGCATGCTTTGATGTTAGTTTTAACATTTGACATTTCAAAATAAATTCCTCTATCAGATGTCTCATCCATATCTCTAATATATAGAGGGCTATTATCCTTAAAGGAAACTAAGTCCAGAACTAACAAAAGATACCCTTCAAGAAGTGCTTTTTTTTGCTGCTGTAGAATGATTTTTATAAGACTTTCATAAATCATGGACAGGAATAACTGTCTAGGGGATATTTTCCCTAATGCAAAACATTCTGTCTGTAGACTGGAGACATTACTACAAGATTTAGGATTTACGTCCACAGTACAAAGAATTGGTAAACATAAAACGTGGTCAATGGAAACAAGTGCAAATTTGAAAACTCAACAATTACGAAACTGTAATTAAACTGAAGATGGGTAGTGTTGAGGAACAGAATGAGATGCTAAGTGTGGTTTGCAATTAGTGGTTAGGGTTTCCAATGTAGCTTGTAAAACTAAATAAGAAAGTGAAATTAAATGTGAAGAAATTAGGACTAGGTCCAGGACATAGTAGGCATTTCAGAAAGTGTAGCTATCGATATTACTACATCCGTACTAGTAAGGAGATATTTTGTTCATAGACATGCATTTTTTGATAATGGGAGCTCCTCATTCAGATGACCGAATTGTAATCTGGGTCTCTAGAACAATTCGTTCCTGCTTAGTTAGAATAATTGAGTCAATTACCACACTGCAGAGGACGGGGATCTGGAGGGGTCATCCTCTATGTCCCCTTGTGAGAGCCAACACAAAATAACAACCCAGCGAGGAAAGTCTTTCACTAAGGTTTTGTGCTTTTAACATTTCCTATGTGCTCATGTAATCTTGCCTCCTAGACCAGTGGTTCTCAATCTTTCCTGAAAGTTGAAGCCACTGGGCTCCTGGGTGGCTCAGTGGGTTAGGTGTCCTTCTGCTCAGATCATGATTTCATGGTTCCTGAGACAGAGCCTGGATGTTAGATCGAGCCCTGCATCAGGTTCTCTGCTGTCAGTTTCCGAGTGTCAAGCCTTTGGATCCTCTGCTCCCTCTCTCTCTCTTCCCCTTCCCTGCTTGTGCTCTCTCTCTCAAAAATAAATGAACATTAAAAAAAACTCCTATGCCCTATGGGGCACCCGGGTGGCTCAGTTGATTAAGCATCTGACTTCAGCTCGGGTCATGATCCCAGTTCCTGGGTTGGAGCCTTGCATGGGGCTCTGTGCTGACAGCTCAGAGCCTGGAGCCTGTTTCAGATTCTGCGTTCCCCCCTGCACTCCCCTCTATCCCTCCCCTGCTCATGCTCTGTCTCTCTCTCTCAAAAATAAATAAAACATTAGAAAAATTTTAAAAACAAAAAACTCTTATGCCCTAAATAGATTGAATCAGAACCTATGGGGGAGGAGCCCAGGCATGGGTAGTTTTCAAATACTCATTTTTCCAGGGTGAGCCCACAAACAGGGCAAAGTTGGAAATACTACTCTAGAAGATGCAAACACATCTGAAACAGAATCTCTTTCAAGTAATTTGTTATTCGATGTCAACCTATACACAATACATAGCATAGTGCTTTGCTCTGCTTATATGCTCGCCGAATACTATACAAACAAATGGATGGACAAAATAAATTAGTAAACTTTGCCATGATATAGAGTTGAATGTCCTAGAAAAAATATAATGCCTCTCCACTCTTTTATCTCCCAAATCAATAAGATTTACTCACGGGTTTAGCTATTCAACTTCCCCCTAATTTTTTCTTGGGAGAATTGCTCTCATTCAATATCTGACAGGCACTGGGTGTAACCTTAAAAAGAGAGTATCTTTTTTTCAGATCACACAGAGATGATCTCCACAGTCTTCATGGCTGAGCGATTGGAGTTGAGTCTTTTTTTTTTTTTTTAACCAACAGCTCAACTTTCCCACCTGAGCTGGGAAAAACTCAAGCAACTCTGTCACACCAGCTGAGCGCCCTACCGTTTAACTCAATTCTGACGATATCTACCTGGAGAGAGCATCAGATCCCCCAGGCTCAGGGCTCAACTGTCTACATTGCCCTGACTACTTGATTTGCCAACTACTAGTCCAGATTGTAGCCTATGCCTCTGACAGAGCATCTGTCAATCAGAGGTTCCCATGCCCCCCTCGTCGGGTTTGACGAATTTATTAGAGTGGCTCAAAGGACTCCGGGAAACAGTTTACTTAGTTTTTACTGATTTATTATAAAAGGATATGATAACGGATGCAGGTGAACATCCAGATGGAAGGGAACACAGGGCAAGGTACGTGAGAAAAGGCATGGAGCTGCCACGTTCTCTCCACGCGTGCCACCCTCCCTGCACCTCTGTGAGGTCATCGACCCAGAAGCTCTATGAATCCTCAACTTTGGGGATTTTATGGAGACTTCGTCACGTAGGCATGATCGATCATTACCTCCATTTTCATTCCCATCCCCCATGAAGCTGACTTTCTTGTCTACTCTCCGTGTAGGAGTGGTTGAGAGTTAAGAGCTTTTTAAATCAAGAGTTCGCATTCCCACTCACCCCCATCACCCTCCACACCATGAACAAACATATCACTGTGACCCTACTGATTGCACATGGAAGAAACTAGGTCCAAATTAAGTAGAGGGACACAGTTCCGATGCATTTGGGTCTTCCCTCACAAGGTTGAGGAAATTAGCAGGTCTATAGACCTCACTGTCTGCCCTAGGTGTCAGGATATTGATGATGATATTGTTCCTGCCCTGAACCATTTCATCTTCCTGATGCTCTCAGGGCCATCAAAGAGATATCAGTTATGGATTCTTTAAGTTTTTTTGATTTTTTAATTTACTTTTGGAGACAGAGCATGAATGGGGGAGAGGCAGAGAGAGGGAGACACAGAATCTGAAGCAGGCTCCAGGCTCTGAGTTCTCAGCACAGAGCCTGACGCAGGGCTCGAACCCATGAACTATGAGATCATGACCTGAGCTGAAGTCGGACGCTTAAGCGACTGAGCCCCCCAGGCACCCCGATCAATTATGGATTCTAAGGAAGACTGTAGAATTGAATTTTGAAATAATGTAATATGTTGGTACTAAATGCTGAACTGATGATAGAAATTTAAGTTTGGAAATATTGAATTTCAATCCAACAGTTTTATTTTTCTAATCGTGGAAACACATATAAGCATATTTTAGCATCTACAATTGAACTTGAACATTGACATTACAAAACACAAAACTTCATTTAAACTTTATCACAAAGACCTTTATTAAGAGGAAAAACATTTTCTATTTCTTACTTTAATTTTACGCCTTGAAGGACCTGTAAACACGGAGGTTCTTCTCAAACCAGAGGACAGTAATTCTTTTTTTCTTACTGTTCTCTCTCCCTACACAATTTCCACCATGTCAGTCTTGAGATCGGAAAAAGGCTGGGTTTTGGCTACTTACAAAAATGATGAAGAGAAGAAAGAAAACAATGGCTTAAGAGGGAAAAATAAAAGATGCAAGAGTACAAAGCAATGCTTAGCATAGGGTTCCTGAAAAGTCATGTAGAGATGCCCAATGATGTTATCATTTCTTATACTTTCTTCATAGATTTTCTTCCAGCTCTCTCTGATTGTACCTGACAGGTGCTCTCAGTTGCAGAGGAAGTGACGTAGCTGTTAAGGAAGGCAATCAACATGCTCTATAAAGTTGTGTAGGGGTGGAAAATGGTATTAGAAGCCTCCTTGGCCCCAGAAACAAGTGGAACAGATGAAATACTTCCAGCCTCCTTTGCAGGATCTTGGGCCCTAGTGTGCAGGGGCGCTTCCTCCGGGGGAGGTAAATATGTCACCCACCCCTGCCTGGACTTCCCACCAAGGACACAGCCTAGGGGATAAATCTGTTGGACTACAGCCAAGATCTGCCGATTTTTTCCCCCCTAGCCATCTGGAAAAACGAAGTGGCAAGTTTCTGTGTTCGGGAGGTAAGGCGGGAAGGCATGACGGGCGACTTTCTCCTCGCACTTACCTACCAGAGAAATGGGGAGGCTGATTCCAGGTCTTCCGCGCCCCTCCAAGGGCATCACGGGGCTTTCCAGGTAGAAGACACGAGAATCGCATCGGGGGCAACCAGCAAGCCCACGTGTCCTCCCTCTAGCCTGACGGTGCGTGCTGACGGCTCTCCCTACTGACACTCTGACTCACCCCCGCGGCCTCGACTTAGGGTGTCTAAGGCGGCCCCGGCCTCGCCCCTCCAGCGGGCAGGTGAGGGCTGGAGGCAGAAGCGAGCCCCAGAAGGGGTGGCACCCCCGAGCCCATCCACACCCTGCAGGCCCGTCAGTCCCTAGTCCGGGAGCCCGCTTCACCGCACAGACGGTTCGCGCTTGCTGCGGGCGCCCGGGCCCCCAGGACGCGCGCTGCGCGGACCAGCCACCTTCGCCGGGGGCTGGAGGGAGGGTGGGGGCGCAGGGACGCGACAGCGGAGAGGCGCGAACCCGGCGGCGGCGGACGCAGAGAAAGGGGCGGGGCCGCCGCGCGGGCGGCGGGGCGGGGCGGGGCCGGGGCGGGGCCGGGGGCGGGGCCGGGCGGGGTGCGCCACAGCGCCCCCTCGCTGCGCGCCCCCCGCCGCGTCCCGGGGCCGCCGGCGGCCGGGGCTCCGCAGCCCCTTTGTGTGCGGCGCGCCGGCTCGGGGGAGCGCGGCCCGGGCTCGGCGGGGGCTCGGCGGGGTCCCGGCCACGCTCCCCTCCCCCTCCCCCTCCGCTCCTCCCTCCTCCGGCCCCCGGCCCCGAGCTGCAGCCATTGGGCCGCGAGCGGCCCCGCGTCCCGCCGCGCACCCCACCCCGCCCGGCCCGGGGCGTTCACCCCCCACCCCCCACCCCGCACTCCCGCCCTGTCCCCTCTTCCTTCCTACCCCCTTCCCCGGCCTCCAAGGTGGAGAAAATAAACTCACAGCTGAGCGACTCAGAGACTCCAGTAGAGCCCGAGCGCGAGCGCGGGTGCCGGGCGGCGCGGGGCGCGGGCGGCGGGGAGGGCGGGCGGGGGACAATGCGCGCGTGAAGTTACCTGCCCGGCGGCGGCGGCGGCGGCGGGCCCGGGAGGCGGCGGCGGAGCGGGCTGCGCGCTCGGCGCCGGCGGGGGCGCGCCGCGGCTCGGGGCAGAGTTGAGCGCTTTTCCCCCCTCTTTTTTTTTTTTCTTTTTTTTTTTTTTTTTTTCTCCTCTTCTTCTTAAACAAACCACAAACGGATGTGAGGGAAGGAAGGTGTTTCTTTTACTCCTGAGTCCAGACACCTCTCTCTGTTCCGTCTAAGCTTGTTTTGCTGAACACTTAAAAAAAAAAAAAAAAAAAAAAAGGAAAAGGAAAGGAGTTGCTTGATGTGAGAGTGCAATGGACGTACGATTCTACCCACCTCCAGCCCAGCCCGCCGCGGCGCCCGACGCGCCCTGTCTGGGACCTTCTCCCTGCCTGGACCCCTACTATTGCAACAAGGTGAACGCTCCGCTTTGTTTCCCCCGTGTTCTCGCTGCGGGTCCCGGGAGGGGGGCGGCGGCGGCGGGGCTCCGGGGCCGCTCGGCCGAGCCGGTCCCGGGCGCGCTCGGCCCGCAGCCCGCTGCGGCGTGCGCGGGGGTCGTCTACACGGCGCGGCAGCCCCGGGGGTTTGCCAGACCCCGCGATTGTGCGGAAAGTGACACGATTTGCTCGGATTCTTTCCTTCCTGCTGCTCGCGACTAAGCCTCCCTGCCTAGGTTTGCCGGGGGGCGTTTAGAAAAAAAATTAAGGGAAAACCACGGAATACTTTGGGGGTGTGTCCGGGGTCCGGGGACGGAGGCAGAGAGGAAGAGAAGTCAGTTTATTTTCCACTTTCCCCTTCTCCCTCCCGCCCTCTCGGGGGCTGCGGGGACCCGTGGCGCCGGGATGACTTGCAGGGGAGCAGCCGGGAGTCGGGGTGCGGGGACCGGGGAGCCGCCTCCGCCCCCCACGGGGAAAATTGCTCCACGAGTCTTTTGTTTTCCTAACCCTTTGGGGCGGCCGAGCCCGGGGTTCGGACGCGGGTGTGCGGGCCAGGGTGCCGCGGGGTAGCAGGGTTTGGGGGACAGCCCCTGCTTTGGGGGGGGGGTGCGCGCGGTAATTGCAAGTTTGTTAGAAGCCGGGCTAGCGCGTCGAGTTCGCGTCCGAAGCTCCCGCACCCCCGCGGGGCCGGAGCAGGGCCCCGGCCGGGCCGTCCCCACAGCCGGCGACCCCAGGGGCCAGGGCCGCGGGGGACCCGGGCGCCGCTAACCGGGCGGTTTGGGGGGGTGCGGGGGGCGCGGGCGGAGCTGCCGCGGAGCCCCGTTTGTCCCGGAGCAGGGTCAGGGGGTACGAGGGGACGGGGTTATCCTCGGGGCTCCTCCGACCCCTGGCCCCGAGCCGGAGGGCGCGCGGGGACCGGGTCCCAGGGCCGCCGCGGGGCCACGGCGGGCCCGCCTCGGGCTCCCTGCACGCGTGGTGAGCGGTGCCGCGCGGGGACCGTCGGCGCGGAGGATGCGCTCTCGGAGTCGCGGGGCGGGTGGTTTAGACGCCCGGCTCGCGCTCAGCCGGCCTGACGCTCTGACCCCCGCAGGCAGTTCCGTGTCGGCCCCTCGGTGAATTCCACGCTGTGCATCGCTGGGCCTTCTGATACTCGCCTGCTAGCGAGGCATCACCAGCCAGCTTTCTTACGTGACACAGAGGTCTTCAGCGCGCAGCATCCTCGGCCCCCGGGCGCTCCGGGTCTGGGTCAGTTGAGACACACACACACACACACACGCACACACACGCACACACACACAACTGTGAGTTAAGTGAACCGCAGATACCACTCGGTGCTGAAGCTCCTTGATGTCGTGTTAAGGCTCAGGAAAGGGGATGTGCTGTACTCCGATGATGCAGAGGCAAGTTTGCAGCGAAGGAACCTAGGCTTGTGCGAGGCAGAAAGGCATTTTGTCGCATAGAGAGAGCCCTTCAGCCAGGAGCCGGTTGGAAAGCTCGGGTAACTTTGATGAGAGAAGTTTGTGTGAAGTTTCATTATTTGTTGGTGGCGTAGTTCTCTTATTCTAGACATTCTGCTTTGCCTTTTTAGAAGCAGGCATTTTGTGTTTGTACCATTCTGTTTGGCTCGTAAACTATTACTAATAAAAATAATAGAGTAGCAGACCTCTCCTGGGTCGTAAACACGTATTCCACAGTTGGAACCAGACCCAAAAGGTCAGAACCATTTTGGCGATGAAACTGGACAGATCTTCTTAGATTTATGGCGATATTAGGCCCCAAAAAGCAGGTGATGGCTTGGATACACATTTCACTCGTCATCCTTGTGACAGTAGGGTCAGATTTAATTTAAAAGTTAAATGCTTTGGAAAATCAAGAATTACTTCAATATATTAAATCATTTTCCAATTAAGTGCTTTAAATAATTTTCGTGCGTTGTGCTGTGAATTGAATAAATTAATTTAGAAAGTCTTCAGAATTTCTTTACTAGCTCATTGAAGTTCCTTTTAAGTCCCCCCGTGTATGAGGAGCAAACTGTTCTTTTTAAATGCAAATTAGCCACCCTTTCTATAGACTAGTTGCAAGTCTTCTATTTAACTTATCCAGGGAATAATGGATTTTTAAAGATGCAAAGTCATGATATACTTCTCTTAGTGGGAAGAGACTTCATGGAAATGATTCTGGGAGAACGCCTTCCCCTGCCTTTCTCTATATAGCAGTCTATCAAATATATCTGTCTCTGATCCCCGATTATATATCAAGTATACCGAGCAGATTTGCTAGGCCCCAGAAAACCCAGACTCTAGGTTTTTTTCCGACTCCATCATGATTAACACTGGTACACAATTTCTCCACTATTTTCGTTGCTCAGAATGGAGTCATCTAGCATTCAGTTTCTGCAGTGACTCAAGTGGATCTGCAGGGATATGGAAGATAGGCAGAAGTTTGGAAGAGGGGAAATAAGAAATCTGTATCGACACTGAGTAAAAATAAGTTGGTTCAGACTTCACTGTCCGAGCCAGGACTGCAAAGTAAACCTTGTGCTTTTCAGAGGTGTAATGAATATGCAGCTCATTACAAGAAACGGCCACTTTGTCAGGTTATTTGTTTTTAATAGGGTGATAGGATCATAAATTAATAATTATCTTTATTTTAAGCCTGTCAACACTTTTGCAGTTCAAGTCGGTGTGCTAATAAATCCCAGCGGAACCAGTATCTTTAGGCGCTTCGGAATCCTGCAGTTGTATTCATGGTTTTCCCACTGACGTTTTTTCGACGTTAGAAGAAACCCCTAATCCACCAAATGAATATCCTCTTCCTGAAGCTTCTCTAAACTAAAAGGAGGCTGCGTTACCCTGCCGACCCTCTCCGGCACTGCACTGCCAAAACACTCCTTCCATTTTTCAGTCAATAAACTCCGTGGGAGGAATTTTTTTTTTTTTTTTTTGGAAACAGTTTAATCTCCCATCACTGTATTGTAAGAGCTCATTACGTTATGAACACATCCCTATGCAAACTGGCCTCCATTTTCACGTAGCCCACTGCTGGAGAAAAGTGAGAACAATGCTGATGATGTTGGTTATGGCAACGGTGCGAGGCATCCCTTAATACAAGCAGCCAGAATGGATGGCATGTTGCTGTATATGATATAGGTCAGCCTTTGAAACAGCAGCGCAGCTCATAGAGGGACCCAAACACGCAGGCTGAAACTAACAGCGTTCACCTCCTGAACTTAAGCATGGTTACATTTCAGACACTGAGAGATGGCACCGGAGTTGAGTTTCATCTAATTAAGACTATTTTAAGTAAGCTTGTGTCCCTTGATTGAAAGTAGATTAAAGGAGTTCACAATCAGAGTGCAGCAGTAACATACAGTCCTATTTTTCTGGTCCTAGTTGAAGACGTCAGAGCGTCAGTTTAAATCTAAACCTACGGAGTAATAACAGTCCCCTTCAGTTTCTTCACGCAGTGTCATTTGTAAAGATTGTTTTCACTGATTTTATGCTAAACTGGGACAAAGAGGTGGCACTTTTTCATTTTTACAATGATGTGATGTGTTCAGTTACTGCTCAGTATCTGCCCACATAAGGAGCAGTAATACAATGATGTTATGACATGGCTAATCACAGGGACGCTGACCTCCGCCAGCAGTGGGAGAGGATGTATGTAATGGTCTGCACTGTTCTCAGTGGTTGCTTTTGTGGAATCGGGCCCTGAATCTTTCTTTGGTTGGTTTAGACACAGGCAAGTCTGGGACGCAGACACATGCTTAATACTCGTAACATACAGAGTAAAGAATAGTGGCCGTTTGGGGTGTTGGGCTTTTGTCATTGAAATGAGGAAGGACAGTGTATATAATCTTTTCATATCAACATAGGAAAATGGACCTATTGGTGATGGACTCAGCGTTGAAATGTCAGGGCTAACATTAAACACTTGGTAACTTTGGAGAAAAACGGGATTCATTATTGTCTCTGCAGAATCTCCTTTGAGCTTATTTTCCTATTTAGTTAGAGCGTTATGTGTTGTACGCTTAACGTGGCAAAGCTCATCCCGTCTAAAATATAGGGCAGGCAAGCAATGAAGGTGGAGTCATTATCCTACTTTAATTAATAAATGTGACAAAAAAAGAGGTGGATGGGAGGAGGAGGAGGGGGAGGAAGGGGAGTGTTATAAGCAATTTAGAGCATCATGCTTGATTAGTTCTCTATCTACCTCCGTAACTTCTAGGACTCTAGGAAATTCATAGCTAATACTTAGGACATCATTAGTGTGATTAAAACTCCCCTGGGAGTTTTATTGGCTGGATCTTTCTTATGTTTTGATGTCTTTAAACATGTTTTCAACAGATTTTTTTATAGGTAAAAAAGAGCAGAAAACAAACCATCATATAGTTTTGGCCACTTAATCAGATGCACAAAAACCTCAAATGTAGCTATCTTGACTTCACTAGATATTTCACTGTCACAAGTTCCAATTTTAAAGGTCTACCCAGAAGTTATAGTTAGGAGTTTCAGAGAGATCAAATGCTATTTTTTAATGTTTGTTTATTTATTTTGAGGGGGTGAGGGCAGAGAGAGAGAGAGAGAGAGAGAGAGACTCCCAAGCAGGTTCCATGCTGAGCACAGAGCCCAGCGTAAGGCTTGATCCCACAACTGTGAGATCGTGACCTGAGCCAAAATCAAGGGTCAGACACTTAGCTGACTGAGCCACCCAGGTGCCCCCAAATGCTATTTTTTCATGTAGTTTACATGGGTTAGTATTCTCACAGTTTGTCATATATTTTTTTAAATTTTTTAATGTTTATTCATTTTTTGAGTGACAGAGACAGATAGAGCACGAGCAGGGGAGGGTCAGAGAGAGAGGGAGACATAGAATCCGAAGCAGGCTCCAGGCTCTGAGCTAGCTGTCAGCACAGAGCCCGATGAGGGGCTCGAACCCACAAACTGTGAGATCATGACCTGAGCCGAAGTCACTTGCTT